AATAATAATAATAATAATAATAATAATAATAATAATAATAATAATAATAATAATGGATTCGGTTTTACGTCACGAACTCCCTTTTCTACTAAGGGCTAGGACGGTTGCCTTCTTACGAAGGACTTGTTTTGGCAGATGTAATCGTTACCCTGAGTGTATGCCCTTACTAACCTCAATCCGTGACGAGGCGCGAATCCTCGACCTGCCGCCTCAGAGTCGCAGACGCTACCATTTTGCTACGGAGACTACTACTACTACTACTAATAATAATAATTATAATAACAATAATAATCACCATAAAGACACCATATCCTCTGAGACCAACAGAGTAGCCACAAACCATATCAAAAGCAACCAAGCAGTAGGACTCACATCATAAATAAAAATAAATGAGGGATCAATCTCATAATAAGCACCTGATGTCTTGTTATGTGCTTAACCTGGGCTGAGTTAGGTTAGGTTAATCAACGGAAAGCTAGGCTAGCTTAGGTTAGATGAGGTTAGCCTTCCTTTTGCCACAATTCAAGATTAAGCACCTGGAATGACATTAGGTACCTATTATGGGATTGATCCTATTGTTCCGGTTTTACGTCACGAACTCCCTTTTCTACCAAGGGCTAGGACGGTTGCCTTCTTGCGAAGGACTTGTTTTGGCAGATGTAATCGTTACCCTGAGTGCATGCCCTTGCTAACCTCAGACCGTGACGAGGCGCGACCCCTCGACCTGACGCCTCAAAATCGCGGACGCTACCGCTTGAGCCACGGTGACTATATGAATATAAATCAAACGAATAAAATGGAAGGGAGGGAGTGCTGATCTCCAAACAATGAAGAGGAAGCGAAAATTAGGTCAGGTCAAAATGCAAGCAATGACTTTGACCTCAATTATTCTGGTCATACAATGTGCTGTTATTATTTACAAGGGAAAATGATACAGGAAATTCCATGTATGTATATATGTATGTATGAATACTCACAAACACACACATACACACACACACACACACACACACACACACACACACACACACACACACACACACACACACACACACATATATATATATATATATATATATATATATATATATATATATACACACACACACACACACACACACACATACACACACACACACACACATATATATATATATATATATATATATATATATATATATATATATATATATATATATATATATATAGTATGTATGTATGTATGTATGTATGTATGTATGTATGTATGTATGTATGTATGTATGTATGTGTGTGCGAGTATATACACAAACAAAATTATTCATGTACGTACGTAGGCGGGTGAGTATGCTATGTATGCATGACTCCATACAGGTGTATGTATAATCATGAATGTATGTATGTGTGTGTGCGCGAGTATATACACAAACAAAATTATTCATGTATGTACGTAGGCGAGTGTGTATGCTAATGTATGCATGGCTCCATACAGGTGTATGTATAATCATGAAAATAATGCCCTTCAATACTGTACGAGTCTTTGAAAAAAAAAAATCATTTTCATAAAAAAAAAAGTATTCACTCTCACCCAACCCAACACCCATCCACCGCCACACCCACACCCAATAATACACCCACCCACCAACACCCACACCTGTACACTACCCACAACCACACCCTTCCAGTAGGAGCACCTGTTCGTTTTCTCTGGTTGACTTTGACATAGGTGTCAAGGTCAAAAATCACATGCAATATACACATACACACGCTCGCACACACACACACACGCTCGCACACACACACACACACACGCTCGCGCACACACACACACACACACACACACGCTCGCACACACACACACACACACGCACACACGCACACACGCACGCTCGCACACACACACACACACACACGCTCGCACACACACACACACACACACACACGTACGAGTAATTATAAGCTATACTTTAAAAGAGAAAGTGGAAGGAGGAGGAGGAGAAAAAGTTGACAGAAAAGGAAGAGGGAAGATAAGAAGAGGAGGAAAAGAAATAGAAACGAAAGAGGCCAGCAAGGGAAGAGGAGGAAAAGAAATGAAAGAGGGATGAGAAGAGGAAAATAATAAAGAGGGGAGGGAGGAGATGCAGAAAGGGAGAGGAAAGACAAGAGGAAATAAGAGGAAGACGGAGAGAGAGAAAGAAATATAGAGGAGACGAACAGGAAATGACGCAAGAAGAAGACAAGTGAGAAGAAAGAAAAGAAGAGGTGAGGGAGAAGAAGAATAAAAAAAGAAAGGTGAAGATAAAAGATAAAAATACTACTACTACTACTTCTACAATTACTACTACTACTACTACTACTACTTATGCAACTACTATTACTACTTCTACAACTACTACTAATAATAATTATAATTTATATTTTAAATAGACGTTATTAGGAGAAAAAAAAACACTGTCCCAATTTCTGGTGCTATCAGCGAAGGCACACAGTAGACAGCGAACAATGCCATGTGCTGTCATCAGGAAATGTTTGCATACTTGCAAGCTTACGTCATGAATTCTCTCTCTCTCTCTCTCTCTCTCTCTCTCTCTCT